GTAGCCTTCCCTTATGTCTGTTCGCGCAGTCATGATTCGATCGCATATCCTGTTCGCAGCAGAGACATAGTCCTTGCGAATCCGCTACCGCTATGGCCACGCCGTTCCGCTTAGTGTCTTCTCCACTGTAGTAGAGTTTGACAATTTCTTCAATTTCCTTGGCCCTAGCTCCATTCCATCATGTCTCTTGAAGGCGGTCTTGTGTGTTCCTCCAACAGAGTACAACCACTCTTGATTGACCCGTTTCCGACCTCAATTTTAGAGTTCGAATTCGAAAGAGGTGCAGACATGAGTCTACACTCCTTACCACTCGACCTTCCCTACCTATAAGGTGATTGGATCTTGAAAGTTGTTTCGATTTATGAAATTTTTGCTAGATTTGGATTACATCTATAGTTTTTGGCAGATCCACGATTCTATCCCATTGAGGAAAAGGTATAATATTACTCGCCATCATACTCGTGTACTTCTGGTAGGATTCCTGAATTATTGCTTCAAAAATCACACCAGTCAGTAGCTATCTTTTTCAGCTGAACTTTTCATGCTCCTAATCTCTGACCTCCTTCGTTTCTATTCTCTCGATCATACATATCCTTTTCGTTCTCTTCTAATTTTCTTTTTTCCCGAAACGGTAAGCCTGAATGGGCTTTACAGCGTTCTGTGTTGTAGAAGCTGCTAGGGCACAGCTTCACCAGTATGAACAGGTTACGGTCGTGTTCAAACCGTGGAGTGAATCTTCAACAGTATCATTGTTGATTATCTGTCTTATCTGTTCTTCTCGCTATTTTCTTCCTTAGCATTTATTCTTGTGGTTCTTTCTGAAAATACGGTCGTGTCACATAATAGAGTTTTCCCTAGTTATAGGGAGCCTATGCATGAGCTCATAAAGTCTGAGCGGGACTACATAGAAGATCTACGGAAATGTATACAGGTGAAGCATTTTCTGGAACAATTATTTTTATCTCACTTATTTTATTTTTGTGCAGTTTTGTATAGTAGAGCTACATGTGAGCGGGAATCCCAGAGTTTTTCGTAGGTGAGGAGTGAAAAAATTACTGCAGGCTCAACAGCGTAACGGATTACTATTCAAAG